GTATAACATTATAACATGATACAAAACTCAAAATAGTTGATTTTACATGATATTGCCCCTTTAAGTACATGTCATTAAGCATATAAAAGTTTATTTCCATAAGTATACTTTTATTTACCGTATACACTGATATAAATATACTAGCAGTTAATTAACAAATCTAGGACTAAATTGGCCCACAATATGTTTATGAAAGTATACTTAGAAGTACACTGAAAGTAATATTCTAAGTATATTTTTAGTTAAATCTTGAAATCTACTACGAATAAACCAGGCTGTATGAAAATGTACTTTGTGTACTACTAAAGTTTATCTTGGCCAAAATTTGAAACATTAGTATCTAAGTATGCTTAAACTTTTAGTATACTTTTAGTACAAGTCAAGTATAGTGTAAGATAAACTTGGTTAAGTATATCTCTGATAAAAGTACATAGAAAGTAAACTGGAAGTATACTCTTTTTTTTAAATGAGTATACTTAAAGGATACTTGCATGTATTTTTTTACTCAGGGTAAACTGTGTGAACCTGACAAACAGAAGATTTGTTTCAGTAAATAAACGGAGTCAGGCGCAGCTGCTGGTTGGGGAAAACCCTCCTTGAATGTGTTCACATGAGTAATCAGCTCCATGACACGTTCAGCTTTTTAAATTTTCTTTTCTCAGATGAAGAAGTCCATCATCTCACATTTATGCACGGTGTCGGACTTCGCCATCGAGATGTTTGACGTCCTGGATGCCATCAACTACCAGTCGTACAATGACTTCGTCCTGAGAGTAGGTGAGTGAGCGGAGGCCCGGACATCACAGGACCTTCTGACCTCCTTTTTTTTTTTTTTTGAACAGGACGCCGTGGGGAGGCCCCCCATTCCCGTACGTTTGCCGGGAAAATGCCTCACAGCGAGCGCGTCCCGTTCAGGAAGCTCGTCACCTGAAGTCCTGGCTCCATTGTGTTGGGTATCCTGTGGAGAGCCTGCGACAGGAGGTCCTGTTGAGTCCCAGAGAAACCTGGTTTACACAAAGCTATCCTGTCTGCAGASACGGCTGTTGTTGGGGAAATTATTTTCTTTTTTTGCAGAAACGTTGACAGAAATTCTAAAATATACAAAAATAGACTTTTAGATGTTTTTGCATGTTTCATCATTGTAAACAAACAGAAAAGATGAGGTGTTGTTTGCAGAAATGACTCAAGCACAGTTTTTACAAAAATGTCATTAAACCACTGTAAGTTCTGTGTTTTTAATGTTTTTAATCACGTGTGCGTMTGTGATTGAGCCAGTGGTGTCTGTGTTCCTGTCAGGGATCAACGTCGGTCCGGTGGTGGCGGGAGTTATCGGAGCCAGGAGGCCTCAGTACGACATCTGGGGAAACACGGTGAACGTAGCCAGCAGGATGGACAGCACCGGGGTCCAAGGAAAGATTCAGGTCTGAGACTTCAAACTACAGGTCTGATAATTACACTAAGAGTGCAGTGCTTCAAACTACTCAAACTACAGGTCTGATAATTACACTAAGAGTGCAGTGTTCAAACTACAGGTCGGATACTATAAACTACAGGCAAAGTGCTTCAAACTACAGGTCTGATTATTACACTATGGGTATAGTGCTTTACATTACTCTAAACTACAGGTACAGTTCTGAAAACTACAGGTCTGATAATTACACTGAGTGCAGTGCTTCAAACTACTCAAACTACAGGTGTGATGCTATAAACTACAGGTATAGTGCTTCAAGCTACTCAAACTACAGGTATAGTGTTTCAAACTACTCAAACTACAGGTCTGATACTATAAACTACAGGTACAGTGCTTCAAGCTACTCAAACTAAAGGTATAGTGCTTCAAACTACTCAAACTACAGGTCTGATACTATAAACTACAGGTATAGTCCTTCAAACTACTCAAACTACAGGTCTGATGCTATAAACTACAGGAAAAGTGCTCCAAACTACTCAAACTACAGGTCTGATGCTATAAACTACAGGAAAAGTGCTCCAAACTACTCAAACTACATGTCTGGTACTATAAACTACAGGTATAGTGCTGCACACTATGCAAACTACAGATCTGACACTATAAACTACAGGTGTAGTGCTCCAAACTACTCAAGCTACAGATCTGACACTATAAACTACAGGTATAGGGCTTCAAACTACTCAAACTACAGATCTGATACTACGAACTACAGATATAGTGCTCCAAACTGCTCAAACTACAGATCTGACACTATAAACTACAGGTATAGGGCTTCAAACTACTCAAACTACAGATCTGATACTATAAACTACAGGGAAAGAGCTCCAAACTACTCAAACTACAGATCTGACACTATAAACTACAGGTATAGTGCTCCAAACTATTCAAACTACAGGTCTGATACTATAAACTACAGGTATAGTGCTCCAAACTACTCAAACTACAGATCTGACACTATAAACTACAGGTATAGGGCTTCAAACTACTAAAACTACAGATCTCATACTATAAACTACAGGGAAAGTGCTCCAAACTACTCAAACTACAGATCTGACACTATATACTACAGGGAAAGTGCTCCAAACTACTCAAACTACAGATCTGACACTATAAACTACAGTATAGGGCTTCAAACTACTAAAACTACAGATCTCATACTTTAAACTACAGAGAAAGTGCTCCAAACTACTCAAACTACAGATCTGACACTATAAACTACAGGAAAGTGCTCCAAACTACTCAAACTACAGATCTGACACTATAAACTACAGGGAAAGTGCTCCAAACTACTCAAACTACAGATCTGACACTATAAACTACAGTATAGGGCTTCAAACTACTAAAATTACAGATCTCATACTATAAACTACAGAGAAAGTGCTCCAAACTACTCAAACTACAGATCTGACACTATAAACTACAGGAAAGTGCTCCAAACTACTCAAACTACAGATCTGACACTATAAACTACAGGGAAGTGCTCCAAACTACTCAAACTACAGATCTGACACTATAAA